ACACACACACACACACACACACACACACACACACACACACACACACAAAGAAACAATGCTGTCCAGGAAAAGGACATACTATGTGGAATTGTTAACTGATAACTCTGCCAAGACAGGGTAAGCAGTTCTTTATAATTCTGTTTTACAAAGGGCTGTCAGATGATTTTGGGCTAGAATGCTGAAGATTGATGCTCCAACATTTTGAGGAATGAGGGACTGTCTATCTTGGTCAGATGTCTCTACAAATTGGTTAAGTTTTGGAAGCTATGTTTTGTGCTTCCTATATGTTCATGTAATGTTTAATTTGCCCTTGGATTCTGGTGGGATTAAAGATAAAGTATAGTCTCATAGTCAAGTCAAGTTGTTTAGCATTGAGAGAGTTGATATAGATTTGAGAGGATGGTTTTCAGATGGTAATACGAGCTAAAACCAGAACATAATTGAGGTATTGAATTGCAAGCTCTTTAAGTTAGGATTGGTGGTAGAGTGCTTTATTAAAATTGACAAATATGATGGCCTGGGTGTTAAGTGTATCTTATACTTTATAATTTTCATTAATTGTGATGGTTGTGCTCAATTTATATCTGAGATAAAAGAGGTTTTTAATTGGACAAAAGGGGGGAAATGTTGTGGGTTTTCCTGGTGCTGTTTGTATTCTGATGTTAATTCAGCTTCCTCAAGAAGGGCTGTCCCGACAAGGAGCATGTGTGGTTTTTCGCATGGACTTATTGGGGTTAGAAATTTACTGCAACACAAGAACACATTAAAAGATCATTTAACACAAACAAGTAGGCTTTATTCCAAGGGTGGAGGGATGGTTTAATATATGGAAATCCATCAACATAATCCACTATATAAACCAACTAAAGGAAAAAAAAATCACAGGATCATTTGTTTAGGTGCTGAAAAAGACTTTGACAAAACACAACACCGCTTCAAGTTAAAAGTATTTGAAAGATCAAGAATTCAAGGCATATACCTAAACATAATAAAAACATTATACAGCAGACAAACGGCCAACATCAGGTTAAATGCAGAGAAGCTTCAAGCAATCCCACTAAAATCAGGGACAAGACAAGGCTGCCCCCCTCTCCATATCTATTCAATATGGTACTTGAAGTTTTAGCTAGAGCAATTAGATAACCAAAGGAGGTCAAAGGGATACAAATTGGAAAGGAAGAATGTCAGGAGCCATAATAGGACAAGCTAATAATTAGCAGTTGATCATCCTGAAATGCTTGCCTCGGATTATTATCTGTGACAAGTGTGCCACATCAGCAAGGCTATGCTGGACATATTTTAGGAAAGATCCTGCTATTAATATGCTTTTCCTATTATTATTATTATTAATATTATCAAACATATATAGCAATCACTAAGCAATAGCACTCCCCTTTGGAGCAGGTCTCTGTAGACCCACGAAGATGTACTGTCTTGTAGTGATGCTATATAGACAAATTGACGACTTCTTAAGTCTTAATGATGATCCTATAAGAATTCCTAAAATTATATCAATGATCATTTAGCTCTTTTTATAGTGGGACTGATATTATGTCCCTTTCTGGTAGTCAAAACTGCTATGAGAACTCTGCCAGTCTCCAAAATGTCATTAGTTAACAGCACTTAGATAGTAACCAGACTCTCTCCTGCTCAGAGCATATTCCAAGGTGGTTGTAAAACAATTAACCAAGGGTCACTAAAAGGGAACTCACGATTATGATTTATTATAGGTGCTAGGACAGAAGAGAAAATATTGCCTGGGTTTATCTATACAAAACTTCACTGATTTCTTAATTATAGTTTTAAACCTTCAGTGAACCTGTGGAGCTAGACAGGTGATGGATGTTTAGTCAGATAATTACTCCTAATGGATATGCATGTAAAAATTATCTGTTGTAAACTTCTATTTCAATTTATGATTTGAATTTTGGTGTGAACTTGTGATGAACTTTGTAACATGTGATCATGTACTCGGAATGAGGTATAAGTACTGAAGACAAAGACAGACGTTTGTTCATTAGGAGTTGTCTGCTCTCCCCTTTCTTTCTTCCCTGCTTAGAATTTCCCCACTTAGAATTTTTCCTTTGTTAGAATTTTTTCCTTTTCCTCACTTAGGACCTTCCCACTTTTCCCCTTAGATAGCTTTCATAGGTAATTTCTTAGTAATAAACTATAATAACTTTTTTAAGTGTCTTTTCTTCCTGTGACTTCAAACTAACAGACCTAAGTTAGAGCCTGGCAGCGCCTGCAGAGACAGATCAAAGGCATTGCTTAATCCTCTGCTGTCCCTGGGCGGAGGTGCTAGTGCAGTTTCCTGCCTCACAGGAAAAAACAGATAGCAGGTCAGCTACAGTAGACTAGTAAGTAAACTTTAGTAACATAGAGAAGTAAACCTTATTATACAGCAACCTTAAATATCTCGTAAGACCAAAGTCTTACCCCGAATCTCGTAAGACCAAGTCTTACCCCCGCCAACGCTCTTCCAATTCCTAACTCCCTCGGCTGCCTCAAGAGGAACCGACCTGAGGAGAAGAAAGAAGATCACCTTCTCCTCAGACCAAGCCAGGTACAGCTCCCGGCAGAAGTCAAGGTATCACAATTTGCAGATGATATGATAGTATACACAAGTGACCTCAAAAATTTTACCAGAGAACTCCTACATCTGATAAACACCTTTAGCCAAGTGGTTGGACACAAAATTAACTCAAACATATCAGTATTCTTCCTCTACAGAAAGGATAAAGTGGCTGAGAAAGATATTAGAGAACTAGCACCATTCCCAATACTCACAAATAATATAAAATATCTTGGTGTAACTCTAACCAAGCAAGTGAAAGATCTGTATGACAAGAACTTCAAGTGTCTGAGGAAAGAAATCAAAGAAGACTTCAGAAGATGGAAGGATTTTCCATGCTAATGGATCAGTAGAATTTACACAGTGAAAAAGGCCATCTTACCAAATGCAATCTGCAGAATCAATGCATTCCCATCACAATTCCAATCAATTCTTCACAGAGAAAAAGCAACTCTCAATTTCATAGGGAATAACAAACAGTCAAGGATAGCATGAATAATTCTCAACAATGAAAGAACTTTTCCAGGAATCACCTTCCCTGATCTCAGTCTGTACTACAAAGCAATAGTGATTTAAAAAACAAACAAACAAACAAGCAAGCAAACAAACAAACAAACAAACCTGCATGGCATTGGTACAGAGACAGAGAAGTAAATCAATGGAATAGAACTGAAGACACAGAAATAAAGTCACACACCTATGGTCACTTGATCTTTGACAAAGAATCTAAAACCGTACAGTGGGAAAAAGAAAGCATTTTCAACAAATGGTGGTGGCCTAACTGGTGGTCTGTATGTAGAAGAATGAAAATTCATCTATTTTTATGTCCTTGTACAAAGCTGAAGTCCAAGTGGATCAAGGACCTCCACATAAAATGAGGTACATTGAGTTTAATAGAAGAGAAAGTGGGAAATAGCCTTGAACACCTTGGCACAGGGAAAATTTCTTAAACGGAACACCAGTGGCTGAGGCTCTAAGGTCAGCAATTGGCAAACGGGATTTCATGAACCTGAAAACCTTCTGTAAGGCAAAGGACACTGTCCATAGGACAAAATTATAACCTACAGATTGGGAAAAGATCTTTAGTAACCCTACATCTGATAGAGGGCTAATATCAAATACCCCAAGATCCCAAAAAATCTATTAAGCCAATTAAAAAATGGGGTACAGAACTAAACAGAATTTTCAACTGAGGAATCTTGAATGGCCAGGAAATGCCTAAAAAAAAAGTTAAACATCTTTATTTATCAGAGAAATGCAAATCAAAACAACCCTCAGTATCTACCTTACACCAGTCAGAATAGTTAAGATAAAAAACTCAGGTGACAACATATGCTGGCAAGTATGTGGAGAAAGAGGAACACTCCTCTATTGCTGGTGAGATTGCAAGCTGGTATAACCATTTTGGATGTCAATCTTCCCTATACTCAGAAAACTGGAAATAATTCTTTCTGAACAATCAGCTATACCTCTCCTGGGCATATATCCATAAGATGCTCCATTATCTCACAAAGACACTTGCTCAACTATGTACATAATAGCCTTTTTTATAATAATCAAAAGCTGGAAACAACTCAGATGTCTCCCAATGGAAGAATGGATACAGAAAATGTGATACATTTACACAATGGAATACTACTCAGCTATTAAAAACGAGGACTTCATGAATTTTGCAGGCAAATGAGTAGACCTAGAAAATATCATCCCAAGTGAAGTAACCCAGACAGAAAAGGACATACCTAGTACTCACTGATAAGTGGATATCAGACCAAAAGCTCAGAATACTCGTGATACAACTTATAGACCATATGAAGTTTAACAAGACAGAAGGCCAAAATGTGGATGGTTCAATATCACTTAGAAGAGGGAAGAAAATAATCATGGGAGTCAGAAGGAGGAAGGGACCTGGGTGGGAGAGGGGAGGGGAAGGGAAAAGGGGGTGGCAGAATCAGGTATGGGAAGAGAAAGGAGAGAAGTCCAGAGAGTCAGGAGAATGAATAGAAATATGTAGCACTGGGAGTGGGGGTGGGTGATAGAAGGAGGAGGGGAAATCACTAGAAAGTATCAGACCCAGGGATGCAAGAGAGTCCTAGGACTCAACGGTATGACTAAATGCCCCCAAAATGAGGAGGTAGAACCTGAAGAAATTACCTGCAGTAGATGGATTTGAACCTCGATCCCAATTGATGGATGGGGCCACCCACCCATCTCAAAAAATTCAACCCAGATTTGTTCCTGTCTAAAGGAAATTCAGAGACAAAAAATGGAGCAGAGCCTGAAGGAAAGGCCATTCACAGACTGCCCCATCTTGGGATCCATCCCATTGGCAGACACCAAACCCCTACACTATTGCTGATGCCAAGATGTGCTTGCAGACAGGAGCCTGGTATGGCTGCTTCTGAGAGGCTCTGCTAGTACCTGACTAAGACAGATGCAGGTACTCATAGACAACCATTGGACTGAGCTGGTGGACCACAATGGACAAGTCAGGGGAAGGTCTGAAGGAGCTGAAGGGTTTTACAACCCCATAGGAAGAACAACAATATTAATAACCAGACCCCCCTTCCCCCTGAGCTCCTAGGGACTAAAACACTAAACAGAGAGTATATATGGATGGGTCTATGGCTCCAGCTACACGTGTAGCAGAGGATGGCCTTATCCTGCATCAGTGGGAGGAGATGCACTGGGTCCTGTGGAGGCTTGATGCCCCAGAGAAGGGAGATGCTGGAGGCATGAGGCAGGAGTGGGTAGGTGGGTGGGGGAGAGCTCTTTGATAGGCAAAGGGGAGGGAGAATGAGGTGAGAGGTTCCTGGAAGGGAGACCAGGAAGGGGGACAACATTTGAAATGTAAATAGATAAAATAATTAATAATAAAAAATAAATTGCTGACAACAGTAAAGTTTTGGTGAGGCAAAACCAAAGGAGACAGGCACAGTAGAGAAAGGTTGCGTATGTCTAGTGATTTTCTGAAGTGAATAGAGTTATATTTGACTGGTGTCCAATGGCACAGCCGAATGGTAGACTTCACACTTCTCATATAGAAGGCTTTGAGTTTGATCCCTGGCTCCACACACAATAAAAATGCCTTCGATTAAAAAAAAGAAAAAAGAGTACCTTTGCACCGTCGAAATCTAAAACATTTCTCAGCTCTGTTTGTTTCCTTTACAGTATAGCATGCTTTTCTGTCACTTATCCCTCCCATATTTGCAAATCTGGAGGGTGAGGTCAGACCTAGACTCCACCCACAAGCTACCAAACTGTCTTCGAAATGTCTTCCTTCATCAGAGGCTCACTGCTTCAGCAAGAAGATAGGTGGTTCCGAGCCTCCCTCCTCAGATTGCTTGGAAACGGTAAAACCGTAAGTATTTAATGAATGGTTAACAAAACTAAAGAGAGGGAGGGGAGCTTCGCCTCACTTCAGGGGAGCTGGACCTCACTCCGGTTAGCCTGCCACAGAGGGTCTCTATAGATTGGTGGAGGCTGGGATGGGGTGGAGGGTGAGGAGCCCTGCAGTGGGCTGGAAATCACTGGTGCCATTCTGTATTTTTCTAGTATGGCCTAAGTTACTTAAATGTGTTTGGGGAAGTGCAACCAACGGAGAACTTGTTAGTACCCTCTTGCAGGGCATCTGGAATTTGCACTCCACTAACTTAACGCGAAGTGTATAAACAACGTGCTCCCAACAAACCATGAGGCTGGGATTTATTGTGCTACTCACTGTAATTAAACTGTGGTGTTGTAGGTGTTAAGTTTGAACAAACACCCACTCCCCGACAACACCCCTCACCCTCAGTCTTACAAATACCCTCAGGCTCTCCCTTGGGGAAAAGTCTGTGTGTCTCCAGTTGGCTTGATGGCCTGCACTCATATTCAATTCTGAGATCCCTGCTACTGCAGAAGAAAATGGTTCTTTTGAGCTTGTAAATCAGAGTAGTTGTCCAGATTGCTGGAGGATTGACTGGAGGACCGGCAGGTTATCAGTCACATTCTGTCACCCACATTCAGACTCCCACAGTTAGTGGTGCACTTCCTCTCCCTGAAACCTCCAAGCTTTCAGAATGTCTCCCTCTTCCTTAGGACAACGGTAGCACGTATCAAGTATACTCTTCTAGTCTTAAATGACTCTTGTGGCATCAGGGAAAGATCTTGGTTCTAGTGTTAGATAGTGTATCTCAGGTTTTTTCCAGTAGGGTGGGAGTGGGAGATTTATCCCATCTGCAAATCCATCTACAGTTTTAGTTCATAACAAATGATGGGAAAAAATTTTGAGATTTCTATTTAAAACTGCATTGTCTCCAACATTTGAAACGTTTGAGAAACATTTATATTTTATTTTATAACTCTCTTTCCCTTTAGTTTATAAAATTATTTTACATGTATGGGTGTGTTTCCTGTATGTCTGTGTGCACTACATGCATGCCCGGTGCCCACAGAGGTCAGAAGAAAGTGTGGAATCCTCTAGAACCCGACTTAGACAATTGTGAGCCACCATGTTTGTGCTGAAAATGAACCAAGTTCTCTTTCTACAAGAGCAGCGAGTGCCCTTCACTGCTGAGTCGTGATTCCATCCCCACCTTAATGTTTTTGTTTAGTAATAAAATATCAAATTTCTTGAAAAACAGAGTTCACAATTATTGTTAGATCAAGAGCCTAGTTCTTCTACAGTGGACAGCCTATTCGCTATGATGATTGGAAACACTGTTCTAGGAGGTGAGGGGTAAGCTGCAGAGGAGGGAGTTCTAACCATGCCTCCCTTGAATCCTAGGGCCCTACTCAATGCCCTACTCAGTGCACACCTAAGGACCCTCCCCCACAGCTATTGGGGCCCTTAAACAGAATGTAGAACAGGCTCTCCTTGAGGCAGAGTAGCAGGTGTGATCTGTCTGCTGCCTCTGACTGCGAGTTATGACCAGGTTCCACCAAGTCACATATTCCTCACAGTAAAGCAGAGCACCCCTGTGTTAGGAAAACCTGGAAAAGTAAAGATTTCCTTTGTTCTTCGGAGTTTTCTCTGGGCTAAAACTGGCAGCCAGGTCCTCACAGTAGTGGCCAAGGTCCATAGAGTAACTGAATTTGGTGAAAGTTGCGATTTCTGCTGTCTGCACACCGGGCTCTCTAGAAGCTGCCGCGGCTTCTCTAGCATTTTCACCTCCTCTGACTAACACCCAAAGAGAAAGCTCATGAGCAATACTACAGTTTCTCACATAAGTCAGATGCTTCTGAGGGCTTAGAGGCTAGCTGAACAGCAGAGGGCCTTAAGAGAGCCCATGACTAAGCAATAAGATGGTTCTAAAATGGCGGCTTCTTCATCACCTTCCTGACCTGAGAACAAAACTTGGCTGCTTAAAACAAAGGCCCGGGCAAGCCTTTTCTCCAGCCAGTGGCGGCCCCTGCTCATGAGCATGTCTCCAAACAGTTCAAGGCCAGAGTTGGATGTGTTTTGTTTTGTTTTGATTGACACATTAAAACTAAGGGACATGCTCTTTGTTTCTTTATGGTGAATATAGTCAAAATCCATTGGGCTAGCTTTAGAAATACTGGACATTATTGTGAATAATATTCATCCTACTGTGACTTTGAGCACCAGATTTGATACCACTTTAAAGAAAATATTTTCTATTCCGTCTCTACTCCCCGCAGCCCCTGATAAAAGATATTTTTCTTGCTTGTGTGTTGTAACACTGTTTACAACAGCCACCACATGGAACACACTAATCGGTTTATTTGTTGACTTAATAAGCCAATTCGAGCTGAATTAAATGTAGAAAGGCATATGTATTTCAGAAGTGTTCCAGGGCAAGTTCACCAGTCTCGGGGGACAAGACTGAAGAAGTCCTGCCCAGGATAGGGCAGGGAAGTTTTTCTTTTTTATAGTTTGTAGGTGAAGGAAAATGACCTGTCTGCCATAGGCTGGGCTTGACCCCAAGTGTGGTCACCTGGGTCTGGGAGAAGTTTGCTACAGCTGCCAGGATATCGAACTGGGCTTTTGGTGCCATGGCTGCGGTGGAGGGAGGTGGGGGATGTGAGCCTAGTCGGAGGCTCCAACCAAACCGACATCAGCATCTAGCAGTGGATGAGTGTGGAAAAACTGTGATACATACTTCCATATAAAACGGAATACTATGTAGTAATAAGATAGGATGTCTTCCGTGACAACATGTGTGGAGCTCGGTGACATGCTGAGACAAATTTGTCAGGCATTGAAAGCTTAATATTGTTCATCCATCATAGAGGAGATAGCTAAAATCAGACAGGAGTTTACAACCTTTTCTTGGATTTGGAAAGATTTTTTAAAGCACAATGCAGAACTAGAAATCACAATGAAACCACTCCTTTAAAATATGAGGGAGTTTAGAAATCTCCCAAGCTTTACTTTCTACAGGGAGTGTGAGGAGATCTGAGGAGTTCTCTCAGGGGAAGTAGGTTGCTCACAGCAACACATGGCTGAGACGTGCTGGAGCTGGAAATGAGCATATGAGAATTTATTATGCTTTGGTTTTATACTTTTTATAACTAGAAAGAACAAAGGTTGAGAGTTCTCTGTGGATCCAAATCCAAAGGCCACAGTGCAGTGCTCAAAGCGTTCTAATCCTACGTATCCTTTCTCCTGGTTGTTAGTGTAGTAGAAGTTTCCTGGTATTTTAGGTGTGTGGAAATGAGGAAAATGCAATGGTTAAAGTCAGTGGAAACTTTGTAAAAACTATAATCTGTATCCAGTATAATTAATTCACTTGGTATACATTTCCATGAATTTTGAAAACATATAATCAGGTGTACTTTATCAAGATATATAGAGTCTGGAGAGTTGGCTCAACCATTGAGAGTATTTATTGCTCTTGCAGAGGCGTAAGGTTTCATTCCCAGCACCCATCCCTAACTCCAATTCCAGGGATCCAACATACTTTTCTAAGCTCTCCTAATACTAGGCATGCATGGAGTATACATATATACATACATATACATACATACATACATACATACATACATACAGGTGGACACAGCACTCTTACAAGTAAAATTCAAAAGACTAAAACATGACTTTTCAAAGTGTATACAGACCCCTACCTTTCCCCTATTTCCCCATTGTCTGTTGCAGACACACTCACTGCTCCTCTGCCTCAGCCGTAAGTACTCACCTTTCCAGATGCCATAAAATGGATCCACGAAGCAGAGACTTCCCACCTGAGTTCTTTCAGCTTGTCCCAGCAGTACCCTCTGCCCATCACTCACAGTGCAGAGCCTATCAGTAGCCTGTCAGGAACAAGCACTGCTGCTAGATCCTGAGAGACTGCGTCCACTGCACCGCTGACACAGAACCACGCTCTGAATTCAGAATTTTGCATGAATCTCACCAGCAAATATTATACAAAGAGGTTATGAAAAGCTGGCAGGAAACTTCTAGAGAAGTGAGAGGAGGAAGTGAGTATGGCAGTTGGGAGTCTCTTCTCAAAGGAAACTGCATGGGGCCCACATCCTGTAGCTCTGACCTCAAGTTTGCATAAGCTTACTGGCAGGTTGAGTTTAGGGACTTTTTGGGTAAGAAGCCTTTGGAACATTTGTCCTGTTAAAGTGACACAAGACAGAGCACACACAAGCCTGTTGTCCAAGGTGTTTCTTGTGTTGAGAGAAGGTTTACCTTGTTATCAGCCTGGGGATATTTCAATGGTCACAAATGTGTTATTTTCACAGGGATCCTGAAAGGTGCTGCAAATATTCACATAAAGATTTCTTGCAGCTTGAATGCAGGCTGTCCTTTGCAGCGTGGGGATATGTGGGTAGGATGGGAGCATATCATATTTTACACTTACAGACAGCTTTGTAGTAGCTGTACAATTTAACCTTAAAAAGGTGTTAGATCTACGTCAACAGCAACATCAATGTATAACCATCCTGTTATGCAGACAGTGATTTTGCTCTTCAATCTAAGATGACTTTTGCCCAAGACAAGTTCACAATCATTCTCCCTCAGTTTTCTAAAACTCAAATGTCTTTACGATATTAAGTGTCTTGCTTGGGTGTATATGTGGAGAGATGGACTGTAGTAGTTTGAGTCTTTTTTGTAGCAGACAGATAGCAGACTGTTTGAGTAGCAGACATTGGAGCAATGCTATCCTTTCCCTGTCTAAAACCTTCCGTCGCTGTTAAGTGTCTGTTGACCGTGTGTTTGATGTCAATCTGGAGTCCTGTTTTCTGTTCTGCTGTGTTGCTTCAGTGTCTACTCTGTTGATGGCACCAGGCTTTCATTCCTGTTCATATGAAGACATGAGGCATTAGATTAGGCCTTGCGATCTTTCTGATTTTGACCTCTTCTTTTTCAAAATAATTTTTGACCATGCTGTTTTCTTTTGAATTTTCATAGTACCTCTCATATAACTTGGTGCTATGATTTTTTTTCTGAAGGCAACCACCCCTCAGGAATATGTTGCACATATACACTTGTTCAGGACTTGTTGACATGTGAGGAATATGGAGTGTTCCAGTTCGTTATGTGTTTAGGGCTGCCTTGATTTTTTTCTTTTGGATTTCAAAAATTTAACCTGTATGATTTTTTGGCCTGCATCGATATCTATGGATCATGTGCATTCCTAGTGCCCGCCAGGGTTAGGAATATTGTCAGATTTCTTAAATCTGGAATTACAGAGATTTGTAAGTTGTTATATCGGTGCTAGAACTGAACCCAGGCCCTCTGCAAGATCAAGAGTGCTCTAAACCACTGAGCCAACTTTCCTATTCTTATTTCTTTCTGACTTTACATGGAATTTTTGTTTTGCTGATTATGAGCATCCTATTTTTAGATTCATAATTTTATGATTTTTAGCATTACTGTAAAGAGCACTGTCTTAGATATTAATTTCCACCTTACAGGACTATATAACTGAATTTACCATGCTGATGTTCCATCCTGCAGCTTTGTAAACTCAGTTTTTATATCCAGTAGTCTTTTGAAGAATTGTTAGAATTTCTATGTAGCTAGAACCATGACAAATGTGAAGAGAAACACTTTCACATGTTTCCAAGAACTGTAAACCTTCTTTCCTTCTTTAAGAAACTCATTTTATGTACATGGTTGTTTGCCTGCAGGTTTGTGCATCACATGAATGCCTGGTGCCTACAGATGCCAGAAGAGGGCGATGGATCCCCCAGAACTGGAGCTGTGCATTGTTGTAAGCTACCTTGTGGGTCCTAGGACTTCAACCCAGTTCCTCTCAAAGAGCTGCAAGTGGTCTTAACAGCTGAGCCATTCTCCAAACACCTGATCCTATTTCTTTGCCTGGCAAGGACCTTCTGGGAAAAGTTTACCTGGAGCAATGTGCAGACATCCGACTCTTGCTCTTGATTGCTGGGAAAACATTCATAATTGTACCATTGGAGAATGAAGCAGACTGCTGCTGGACTTATAGTTTTGTTTTTAATGGATAATTTTTGTAGAGTTGAGGAAGTTCCATGTACTTCTATTTTTCACATAATTTTGTTGTGTTTATTGAGATATTTCTAGTTTTTCCTCTCTTTTTATTTTGTTAATATGTCTAATTGCATCAATTTTTTTTCCTAATGTTTCCATAGCTCCTTCTAACCAGGGTACTTTTTATGGAGCAAAATCCAGATTTTTGTTGTTTGCATTTCACTGGGATCTCCACTCCCTCCATTCTTGTTCTTTTATTATTCACTCAGAGTTCAGTGACCAGAAGACTCCCTGGCAGAAGCTCTGTTTCCACCCTCTCTAGACTTCTTTCTATCATGGACATCTTTTGTGGACTAGGGCCTTCTCCAGAAGGGTTGGCAGAAGCCTTTCTGGAAGTTATAGGCAATTGTAAAGTGGGTTTGTGCTAAGTTTATTTTATTTTCCTTAAGTAATTATTTGAAATTGGCATTCTTATATTTATATTTTACAGATAAAATGCTCCAAGTTGTATCCTGTGTGTTTCCTGCTAAGTGTTGTCACTGGCGCTGTGGAGTGATCATGATCACGGTCCTCACTGCAGCTGTAGTTGCTCTTTCTGCTGCTTTGTCAGGTAAGTGACTTATTCTCCAAATTCTGCAGCATTCTGTCCACATTCACACTGTCAGTTTTACTACTGACCTCTGTGAGCCAGACATTGTGGGAAGGGCTCTAGAGAAAACACACTGGAAGTTCCTGTTCTCTGGGAACTTAGGTTCCAGCAGGAAGATGCAGTGAAGGAACACACAGGCTGTGGTGTGCACAGGAGGCCACACTCAGCATCCCTGGGAAGATGATACCCAATAGGTTCCAGACAGAGATGCAAGGGACATAGGTCCACTTGGGGGGACTGTCCAAGGCAGAGAATAAGGAGAGGAAAACTCCAAAGAGGACTTAAGGAAGGGTGAGGACAGAGAAGTGTGATATGGCCAGGAAGATACAGTGTCTCCCACCATGACCCATGGGTCAACTGCATTTTGAAAGTATTAAATGAAAAGTTTCTGAAGTAATACATTTATAGGATTTTCATACCACACTGTTCAGAATACTGTAATAAAAACTTGCACTGTCCACTTAAGTATGTGAATCTACCTTGAGTGCAATGTGTCCACACTGTATACACTACCTACCTAAAAGTTCTCACTGCTATCTCAATTATTTAGGCTGCTTGTCAAAGTATGTGTCCATACACAGTGCTTGATGATCCAACAATCTCTACTGCCATTCAAAGCACAGAATGTGATGCTATTATAGAAATGCACTTCCTGGGAGCCTCACAGCTGAGCTCAGGAGGGTATTCCAAAAAGAGAGAAGACATGCTTGTTATGATTTGTTGTATTGTCTATATTTTAGTAAGACCTACAGAGCAGATCTCAATCAAAAATAATACCCATGCTGCTTGTCAGAGGAACTGGACTGAACTTGGAAATAAATGTTTTTGTATTTCTGAATATTCAAGTAACTGGACATTAAGCCAGGACTTCTGCATGGCGCAAGGGGCCCAACTAGCTCGAGTTGACAACCAGGAGGAGCTGGTAAGAAATGGGCAGGGATTGTGTTTTCTGTTTATTCTGTTGAATCTTTTGTTGCCTTGAGATAGTTACAGATGAAGCATGAGGAAGGATCCCATCCCAAGCACATGGAGACATGGGGAATGTGTGAGTGTGTGCCATTTGCTGATGCTTCACTTCTGACTGGAGCCCTGTGACATTCAAGAAATATTCTCTCATTTAGTGCTCATAGTCAGCTGGAAGGTCAGATAGGCCACTTTACTGGGATACCTGGTGGTCATGAGCTTGTTCCTGTAAGATGGCACATGTTTTAGACAGAGAGTGACAACTGTTAATAACTGCAAAGGGAGGTTAACCCATAACTATCCTGGTCACTGAGGAATGTGTCACTACATTTGGTACTTTAATTCAAATGAGGTCCTTTAGAATTACAGATGTCAAGTGGATCCACTGAGAACTGGTGACTAGTACAGCTCCAAAGTCTGTGAGCCTCAGTTCCACCCTCCTGATGTCTCTAGAGGAAGCTGTGGACTGGAGAGACTCCAGGTTCATCTGAAACAAAGACACACATGTATTCTCAACTTTTTGTGTTTTATGACAGGATTTCCTAGGGAGTTACAAAGGGGGTACTGACTGCTGGATCGGCCTCCACAGAGAGTCATCAGAGCACCCTTGGAAGTGGACAGATAACACTGAGTATAACAACTGGTGTGTTTTTGGAATGTTTTTCCTTCTTCTGTGTTTATATGTTGTGATGTGTTTGTGTTGTGACTATGAGGGTTGAAAGTCAGTGTCAAGAGAATCCAATTGTAGTGGGAAGGAAGAAAACAATGAACCTGAGGGCTGGAGGTGGCTCTGAGGTAGAGTGTGTGCTTACATGCAACAGCAAATCCCCCACAAACTTTACATCCTGACAAATGTAAGTCATTGGACACTCTCCCATTCATTAGCCATCATCTTCAAAGCATTTCCATGGTGTTATTTCACTCCAAATATTTAGCATGATGGTGGCATCTGGGGTAGATACTGTCTTCTGTCACCACTTGAAAATCTTTCCTTGATGATAACTGCCCTTGTGTGATGGACACAGCCCTGCTGTTGGCCATCAAGAGCTCTAAAACCCTAGGAAGCTACTTCAGAACTTCAAACCTGAGAATTATCAGTCCTCTGTCTTTAAGGTTGTCACAGAAGAAGAGACTCCAGGGACATTAAGAATCTCCACTTGTCATCAGAGAGCTGTGGGGACGACTCTTGAATGTGACAATAGCCATTTTCAAACTATCCATTTCACTGGAAGGGTAAAACACAGAACCTTCCCATTCCATAATTAAAGACCTTTCAGCAATTTACTAAGTGCTGCATTTTTTCCCACTTTATACATGTGTAAAAATACTTCAGGAGAGCTTTGAAAATCACCCTTGTGAGGCTGCCCACTGCTGCAGTTTCTCATTCTTATTATAAATAAGTGGAGAGGACGAGTGAGATTCGATTGCAGGAGTGAATCAAATGGCAGACTCTGCAGAAATCCTTTTTTTTTTTTTTGCTTTAGGTTTCCCATCCATGGAGATGAAACACATGGCTTCCTGAGTGACAGGATCAGCAGTGGCAGGGGCTACGTTCCTAGGAAGTGGATTTGTAGCAAGTACAGAAGCACCTTACAGTGCTAGTAATTTTGTATTCTAGGTAGAGAGTATGTCCTGGCAATCCTGACAAACACACAACAAGTTATCTACTGCTGCTGCCTCCTTAACAATCTGATAAAATCATTTTCACAGTCAGTGCATAATATGTGATGACATCCAAGTTGACAACTACCTCTGAGAACTATTCACATGTGTGCTTATGAGATCATGAATGTTCCTTAAATGAATAGGTATTCCGGTATGAGCTGGTACTCATATCTGAAACATAAACTAACTCACATCAGTAGTAGTAACCTCTACCTTTTTCCTTTTTTTTTGTTTCTTAATTATTTTATTTATTCAGAGTACATGCCTCATCCTGGTCCCCCCTCCCAAAGTTCTGTATCTCTTACCCCTCCCCTTTGCTTCTGAGTGGGTGCTCCCCCCACCCCACCCTGCCACCCCCTACCCATTCTCACCCATCCTACTTTGGGCATCTTCCTCTCCTAGGGCATCAGGTCTCTATAGGATTAGGTGCATTCTCTTCTACTGAGGCTACACAATGTAGCCCTCAGCTACATATGTCCTGGGGGCCACAGAGGAGCTCATGTCTCCTCGTTGGTTGGTGGCTTAGACTCTGGGAGCTCCTAGGGGTCCAGGTTAGTTGACATCATGCTAGGACAGCCATGCTAGGCTTTTGTCTGCATGCACAACAGTAATAGTGTCAGAGTTTGGTGCCTGCCCATGGGATGGATCCAGAGTTGGGCCGATCACTGGATGGCCTATCCTTTAGTCTCTGCTCCATTTTTTGTCCCTGTATCTTTTTTTTTTAGACAGGAACAATTCTGGGTCAAAAATCTTTAAAGTGGTAACCTCTACTTTTATGATCAGATATGAAGTTTTTTTTTTTGATTATTTGTTTCTTTGCATGACTGAGGCCTTAAAAAATGAAGGCCAAATAATACTGTGGAATGGTTCTATTATCACAAAAAGATGATTATTGTTCTGTAGCCTTCAAATATGTTTAGAATCATCAACATTCTTTTACAAAGTTCAATGACCAACATGAAGTGAGACCTAGGCAGAGTTAAAACCAACATTAATATTATTAATTTAATTAATAAAGAATGTTTGTCAAAATACTTTTAGGCTTACTTCTCAGTTTTCATTTTTTTTTAGTTAAAGTGGACTGAGAACTGCCATAAACAATCTCATTTTACTTTCTTCTTTATTTTTTGAGAATTTCAAACATAACTATATCATTTGAATTTTATTGTCTATTAGATTCATTTATTAGCAAGACAGTTAATTACTGAGCCTTCTTAGGCATTATATTCTTTGCAGTAGTTTGCATATGGTTGAGTTGTAAGAACAAAGTATTTTTTTATTTGATCATTCACTACGTTTCACTGACAAGTCCCAAAATATCAGGTCACATGCTTCTCTTTGTTTAGCTCTGCCATTCTAATTGTATTGATAATATAGATTAAACCTTCCCACACATGCTTATCAAACATTCACTACTAATCTAGATACCCATACCATTACACACACACACACACACACACACACACACACACACACACACAAGATCTACACAAAATCTCCAGTTTGCTGGAATTGGAGATGTATATAGCACACGCAACATACTTTACTATTTATTAACGTATATATTCATTAAAGTATATATTTAGAGCCAATGACATGGCTCAGTAGGTAATGCTACCCTGACACTAAGCCTGACAACTTGAGTTTGGCACCTGGATTCACATGGTAGAAGTTGTCCCATAGAAGAATCCCATAAAGTTGTCCTGTGACAATTTTGTTTGAAACTTGTGTTTTACTCATACAGGAAAAAAAAATTGAAAGTAATAAAAAATGTGGTGTTAGGAAGTAGTTTCCTGAGTTTGCCATCTCAGGGATGATTCCATCTTGCTGGCAGATCCAAACTGAGTTCATCTTCTCAGGTGCCAGCTCCTGTCCTCCTTCTTCAGACGTCTCATGTTTGTCTGTTAACCAGTACAGGATGTAAAGACAGAAGATGCTGTTATCCTGTTATCTAAACTGAGGCACACAAGTCATAAATGTGTTGCTTGTCTTGACTTAAGTGACTCCATGTAGCTTGTCCTTTCCTTTGTTCCCTTATCATTTGAAAATTATGGGCCAGAGTTCAGGAGGGGACCTGGCTGCAGAGGCTGACATAAGGATCCTGAAACCAGGTGCCCCTGATAAGTCCCAGTCACTAATGCTAACTTTCTTGTTTTAAGTCCTTGTGTATAAATATGATTGGTCAGTGCAACAGTCCACCCTGCTACCCCTCACTTTGTGTACCCATCCTATAAAAATGTTGTATAATGTCTCTTTGGATTTGTGGTTCAGATCCCAAACTGGCAGCCTCTTGGAGCACTCAGAAAATAAACTTTTTACTTTCCATTTTCTAT